AGGGTCCGTTTCCGGGCCACCTGGTGGACGTCAGCGGCGCGGGGACCTTGTCTCACAGCTACCAGTATGACGTGTGCCTGAGGGGAGGATCTGGGACCGGTGAGTTCAAGTTCTTGAAGCCAATATTTCCCAACCTCTTGATTGAGGACACTGAGAGAGAAATTCAAGACAACCCCAACTGCAGGAATAGCTTTGTATTCAGTTAATGAGTGTATTTGGTCAAGTCAGCCTCTCCTTAATTTTGGCAAACCTAACTTCCATTGCAATGTCTTTCTTCTAAGAAATTTTGTTGTCTAAATTTGTATAATATCTCTATTCCGAACTAATCATTTCCCTGATTGTACTAAATCTTCCTCCTTTTATTAATATTTATTGGACTTAGCATTTTCAGTTACACTGGTTATGGAGTATGTATATTCTCCATATTTGACTTTCTCTTGGTGATTAATGTTTCCATGACTATGAATTAACTCAAATAGTTTAAGAAGAATTTTTTATTTAAATCAACTCCTTACTGTCTTAAAGCTTTTATGTAATTGTGCATTTCTATATATTTGTGGTATTTATCTTTACCATTAGCTTTGTCTTTAGAGTGTTTGAAATTCTTTTAGCTACCTAGGCCTTTTTGACTGTTCTCCAGGCTATGCCCCCTGAAAAGCCATGAGCATATAACTTAACTTACTTGTTTCTCTGAAATTGTACATAAACATGCACTTTGAGTAAGATATTAAAACACCAAAATTGTGACTTCCTATTGGGAACACCATACATGCTAGGATTTTAAAAATTCATTTGATTGTTACTTACCTAGCACACTGTATGTGTTCTGTAAATACTAATACTAAATTTAAAATTATTATCATTTATAAGTAATAATTTTCTGAAAATCTTCTATAATTTGGCACTATGCTCACTAATAGAAACTAAGTCACTGTTTGGTAAAATCCTTTAAAACAATTTCAGAACCTTAAATAAACCTTAAATCATTTCATAGGATTCAAGATATGAAGGACATCATATCTTCCTTGTCCTTGCTTTTGCTCTATAAATAGAAGTTCAAGTGAAATTTAGTGTATACGTTTGTTTTGGTTTTCTTGCAGCTTCTCCCCACCTTTCAAAAGAGTCAGAAAATTTTTTCTCAGTTTTGATTATTCTCTTCAGGCCTTTTCAAGGTTATTGGGTGATAGGAGATTTTCACTTTAAATTACTTTGCAGACATGAACATCCTTCATCAACAAAATAATGTTTTATTTTTGATGTCACAGTTATCTTCTTCAGTATAGCTTTGAGGTATTTTATGCAATTTACTTTATCGATTATGTTAAACTTTCAATTTATTTATTTGACAGAGATCACAAGTAGGCCCTGAAGCAGGCAGAGAGAGGGAGGAAGCAGGCTCCCTACGGAGCTGAGAGCCCAAATCCTAAGCAGGCTGGATCTCAGGACTCTGAGATCATGACCTGAGCTGAAGACAGAGGCTTTAACCCACTGAGCCACCCAGGCACCCCTAAAATTTTATTTTTAAATCTCAAGGGCCATCCTACTGGATTTAATTACTTGTACTTACCCCTGAATTACTTTTTTCCCCTAAGGATATAATAATACATTAAAAAGGAAAATTACTGGCTAAGTTAGACTTGAAACATAACTTTTAGCCTTCGTCCAGTCTAAAAATTGAAATGAGAAAGTGATAAAAATGAGAACAAAATTAAACACAAGCATATATAGATATAAATATGGTAGTCAACCTTAATGACTACTTCACTTACTAGCTGTTTAAATGAATAGCTTTTATTTATGATGAGAAATCTGATTGAAATTTTCACCAATATACTTCAACATTTCCAAGTTCCCCTTTTTTGTTGTTTATTTCAGAAAAGTCCAATTTGTATAACTGCCCAAATGAGACTGGCCAAATAAACACCCAAACCCACCTTTATGAATTTCTGTGTAAATTTGTGAATTACTTTGTGCATTATTTTATTGATTACTCTGTGTATTCATAAAGCACAGATCATCCCTTACCATTACGCATGGATCATTCTGTACACCAGACTTTGGTGTAGAATGGATCAATATTTTGAAATTCAATAATTAGAATTTAGTAGTAAATGTGATCCAAATAACTTCCACAAAATGCATACCTTAAGAAAAATAAGCCAGTTCTATTGTTGCCAAACAAACATAAAGAATGGAAGCCAACTATCTTGATAATAATGCTCATTTCAATCCTATATTTTCTCACATGCTTCTGTTATATGTACAACTTATTTCCCAATTTTAGTGAAAATAATAGAAATATATCACTGTAAATTTAAGAAGTGCAGCATGATGCTTTGAATTACATATATTGTGAAATGACTACCATACACAATAGGTTTAGCTAACATTCATCGTATCTATACATCTTTTACAATTCCTTTATTATTATAGGCACAACACTTAGTGAGTTGAACATATGCTGTTTGGGGGGCAGAACTTTTACTGAAGGCACCGTAAGGCCCACATCACTTCAAAACCCCCCTCTTCCTTTACTACTGAAAGTTACAAAATACAGATTTTAAGCAGGCTGAGGTTAAAAGTTATGTAGTTATTTGGTGGAAGTCTACTTAAGATAGAATGGATGGATTACCTAACAGAAGAAACAACCATAAAAACTTGTTAAAATTCAGAAATTACCTGTTTGAAGCAACAGACAGCTGATGATATAACAAGACTCAAAGGGCTAAGATTTCTTGGAGTTCTGAACTGACTTCTTCAATCAGTTTGCCTTGCAGAACTTTGCTAAGTCTTAGAACAGACAAAAGGCTCCTGCCATGGTCTAGAGCAATTTCCGTGGCCTTTGGCAGACTGGAAGATTCAAGCTCATGGCCAATTTTTCCCCTCAAGATACTTGTCAAACTCAGGGACATTCCAGGGAAGAAGCAACATTTGAAGAGATGATGACCAAGAATTTTCCAAAATTTGTGAAAATCCTTCACCACTCAAGATGCTTGGAGAAACCCAATCAAGAAAAATAAAATACAAAGTACACCTAGAAATATCATAGGAAGGATGCTGAAGACCAGAGTCAAAGAGAAAACCTTAAAAGCAACTATCAAAAATGGCACATTGGGGTGCCTGGGTGGCTCAGTGGATTAAGCCGCTGCCTTTGGTTCAGGTCATGATCTCAGGGTCCTGGGATCGAGCCCAACATCGGGCTCTCTGCTCAGCAGGGAGTCTGCTTCCTCCTCCCTCTCTGCCTGTCTCCCTGCCTATTTGTGATCTCTCTCTCTGTCAAATAAATAAATAAAATCTTTAAAAAAATGGCACATTACTCTTAAAGGAACAATAAAGGAACAATAAAACGAAGAGCTGACTTTTTCACATAAATCATGAAACCAAAAGACAAAGAAATGATGGGGAAAAAACAGACTAGCATTCTTATATTACCAGAAAATATATATTTCAAAAATACAATTTTCAAACAAATAAAAACCCAAAGCATTAATCACAGTCACATCTGCACTAAAAGAAATACTTTTAGTGGAATTCATTGGGCAGAGGGGAAATAATCCTAAAGGAATCAGACTTGCAGGAAGAAATGAGCAACAGGAAGGGTAAATGTAAATTAATATTGACTATAGAAGGCAAAAACAGTTTCTTGAAGGATTTAAAATGTGTATAAAAATTTTTAAAGATTTTAAAATTTTCTCTGTTTATTTGACAGAGAGAGATAGCAAGAGCAGGAACACAAGCAGGGGGAGTGGGAGAGGGAAAAGCAGGCTTCCCTCCAAGCAAGGAGCCCGATGTGGGGCTTGATGTGGAGCTTGATGTGAGGCTCAATCCCAGGATCCTGGGATCATGACCTGAGCCGAAGACAGACGCTTAACAAATGTGCCACAGAGGCGCCCCTAAAATGTATATAAAATTTAAGTTCATGACAATAATAATGTAAAAGGAAGATGGTATAAATACAGTTAATGAATTCTAAGCATTATCGTGGAAGTAGTAAAATTAAAAACTTTGTGTTAGATTTTTTTAGCTCAAAGATGCTTTAATCTGTAGGATAATTACTACAGGATTAATTAAAACATTAATTGAAGGGAAATGAAAAATAACAAATATCTGAGTAATCCATAAAAGAATGAAACTTTATGGACAAGTAAAAAAAGATGGTAAATATAAATGGATCATTATCAAATATTACATTAATTGTGGTTAGATTAAATGATCCCATTAAACAACCAAAAATTTTCAGACTATGTATAAGAAAAGTTCAACTATTACATACGTTATCATATAAATGTGTTTGTGTGAGCTACAACAAAAGGTTGAAAGTTAAAAAAATAAGAAACGATATAATACAGACACTAGCTGAAATAAACCTAGTGTAGCTGTACACATATAAGAATGAAATGACTCATAGTACGCTTTTAAAAAAAAAAAGACTTATTTATTTGAGAGAGACATGGCGAGAGAGGGAACACAAGGGAGGGAGAATCAGGCTCCCCTAGGAGCAGGGAGCCTGATGTGGGCTTGATCCCAGGACTCTGGGATCATCACCTGAGCCTCTGGGATCATGAACTGAGCTGAAGGCAGACACTTAACGACTGAGCCACCCAGGCACCCCTTATAGTATGCTTTTTGACAGTGGAATTAAGACAAAATAAAAATATAACTAGGGGGGTGGCTGGGTGGCTAAGTGTGTTAAGCCTCTGCCTTTGGCTCAGGTCATGATCCCAGTGTCCTGGGATCCAGCCCCACATCGGGCTCTCTGCTTGGCGGGGAGCCTGCTTCTCTGTCTACTTGTGATCTCTCTCTCTCTCTGTCAAATAAATAAAATCTTAAAATATATATATATAGGGGTGGTGCCTGGGTGGCTCAGTCCATTAAATGTCCAACTCAATCTCAGCTCAGGTCTCTATCTCACAGTTGTAAGTTCAAGCCCTGTGTTGGGCTCCATGCTGGATGTAGAGCCTACTTAAAATAAAGTGAAATTTAAACTAAAAATATAAGAAGAAATTCCCAAATGCTTCAAAAGTAGATAATATAATCCATGGGTCAAAGAAGATATCATAGCAGACATTTCCATATATTTTGAACTAGGTAAAAATAGAGAATTTGCTACATCAGAACAGGATTTAGAAATTTAAAACCTTTAAATGAACAAGTTAGAAAAGAAAGGTTAAAAATCACTAATCCAAGATTTCCTCTGAAGAAGCTA